CAATACATATACATACATATCTTTTGTGTTATGTTCCTTACAGCTAACGTTGCATATACGTACATAATTGCGAATTGTGCACACAATTTCAGCTTGTTATTATTGTACTTCCTTCCTTGTCGTCTGTCATTGATGCTGTAAAGACCAGAAAACCATATGCCTTTAAGTCTGATCATCATTCAGTGCTACTAAGTTCATTGGGTTTCGTTGGTCCGTAATGTATGCAAAAAACTGCCTTAACTCTGATTAAATACTCATCATCAACATCCTGCACTTGTTACAATTCATTCATTCGCAGCATTTAAACGCTCGACGGATGAAGGCGAGTTAGTTTTATTCTCTTCTGAGAGGATTCGGCAAATGGGTCAAAATACGATTGCTTGTTTTACGATGTCGATCAAACAGAACCTCAAAACAGGGGAACCATTTTCTTTTCAAACTTGGATCGTCCTAATTGACGTTGTAATTACTTCGAATATAATACCATGGCCTCCTATCGCTCGGAAAGAAACGAAAAGAGTGGCCATAGCCTAATGAACGCACACTTAATCAGCAAGTGTTGCGTCTTCACAGAGTCCGGACTAACTCTAGTTAGGTGACGTCGAAGCAAGCCTAAATATCCCGCTGAGCGATAGGGCCTACATAGACCGATGACAAGATAAAACATCTTAGAGACCAGTCTATGATGCAGACATAGCGAGTTATGGGTAAAACGAACACCTCTTCAAAATAGAAACTGAAAACTGTAACTGTGATATTCTCAAAACCATGTTTTTCGCAATTACCCCACCACCTTCCTGTTCCTTTAATATTGGTCCTTTTGCTTTAAAATTACACGATGGTTAACTCAGTGCGGATGTATGCAACACGTAGAAAGGCTTAGCACCGATTCATTCTTTATTATAAACCACTATGTCTGTGTATTCGTGCGATGTCTGTCCATCAACATTTATGTTCAAGCTGCAATGCAAGATGCAATTTTTGAGTCATTTTGATGGAATTTGATACACTGCCCTGTTTGGCCCAAGGATGAACCTTATTGAAAATGGATTGGATCGTACCACTTTATCGATCACAATCCTTATAGCGCCATATTTTGCAAAGTCGTTATATGAAAAAAACTGACAATTTTCAAAATTATTCGATAAAAATCGCTGAGTAATCGTATTTTGGCCATTTAAGTTGATGCTAACAATATGGATTGTATGCTGCGACTTTTTGGACCACTTCTTATATCAAGGACCGAAGATCGGTCCACAGTAATAATTTGATATAAAAATCGTAAGAAATTTGGATCCCATAGAACTGTTTTTTAGATTCTACCATATACAGGTGATTTCATGAACAGTAAGCCATTATATGACAGCGAAATTTAATTTGTAGCTTTTCACGATACAAACAGTTCGAAATTAATAAAATACTTAACAAGGAAACGAATTGAACAACTATAATGTTCTTAACATTCAAAAAAAAAAAAAAGAGATGTGTTTGTAAAGGGTTTTTGCACACATCCTTTCTAATTCGCTGCGAAGCAGGAGAAGTCGGTGCGTAGGGTCCTAACCCTATAGTGTTTGCGATCTCGAAAGTTTTATCAAAGATAACAAAACGAAAAGAAAGAGGACGAAAGATTCCGTGCGTCCCACCAATGTCCGAGTATCCACTTTGAATGGAATCTCCACCGTTAATATTAGCACCACCAGATAGAATAAACTCCCTATTTTGACTGAGTAGGACATTGAAAAAAATCGCAATAATGAAAGTGGCTCAATAAAAGCTGCATCAAAGAGGCAAAGATGCTTTCGACAAATCTTTTTGTCGACCTACATCTCTATACGATGTCGGTGCAAATCACCTAGTGCAACAGTTGAAGACAAGATCGGCAAAGACATTCTTTAAAGTGAGCTGTATTAAGAGGCATAAGTTGATCAGTTAACCGTAAAGAATGAAAGCAGATTTCCTTAGTAATTTGGGGCTTGTAGTGAGGAAGAAAAGTTAAAGAAATAAAATCCAATATGTTTCTACACGTTTCTACATAGCCACCACCGCCACTATTTTTAAAAGGAATGGTGGACCCCGAGAAGTGACTTCGTTAGAGACGGAGTTTGAAGACATGTAGACCGTAACAACATTCATTCGTTTGTGCTTCATTGTTTAAAATACACTTTTTTATTATGTTTATAATAATAAACTTATAAGCTAAAGTTACGAATATAAGTAATATGTTAATGACGACCGGTATGTTCACATGATATAATTTATAAAATTCATTTGCTCTATGGTGTAAATTTCTTGTTCTTGTTTCAGTTTTTTGGTGTAAGTTTGTTGTTGTTATTTTAGTTTTTTGTCTGTTTTGTGTGGTAGACAAGGTCTCAAAATTCGCAACTGCCTTCTCTATTAAGAATAATGCAAATACGCGCCTTTTCCTTGTGAGTTTGTTACTTGGCCCATTTACTCACCTAAATCGTCATCTTGGGAAAAGTCAAAAAAGAAGAACAACGAAATACAAGGCCTTAGATGTCAACGTATGTCAGCGTCCGAGTCCACCCTACACGTTACAGGCCGTCGAGTGGGTGTCTTAAGGACGCTAATCGGCAACAATGCAGACGGCGGCGTCGTTCAACAATCCCATCTTCTTAAGAACAGAACTCCGCTAATGACCTACTTATCGAAGGCATTGGCTTTAATGGAGCCTTTCTCTAAACTCCGCTCAAAATCAACGGAGCACGAAACATATACTTAATCGGTGCTATTTTACTATTTTCCTGGTATCTTGTGCAATTTTCCTATTGCTTTTATTCCAATACATATTTATATGCACGGTTTATCTAAAATATTACGGTCGGCCAATAACTTTACAGTTCTCATTCTGGTAGATGATAACTGGCTGCTAAGAGCAATAATAAAATATTAGAATTCATAACAGCTCCTTGGACGTATTGTCTTTGGGATTGCAGAAAATCGTTGCCAGACTGTTCCTCCTGATTAAATCGCTACTTAATAAGTGTTTCTCCTGTTAGTTCACAGTTCACCATTAACAATTAATAATATTAATTTTATGGAAACTGATGTCGTGTATCTGTTGTAGTTCATGAGCAACGGGCAAAAGAGACGAAAGCAAAGGCGTTCTCGGTTTTGGTTGTGTAGACGGTTGGGCGTTGTAGGCGTATTATTTAACCTACTTGCGCATTTTCAAACTCTTTTCCAAAATTGTAGACGATATCCTCTTTAAAGAATGTCTACTAATCCAACTAATAATCCGATTTATAGACCAAGTCACGCTCAGGTGCATTCCAAATTTGAAATTGGCCAAGAATTTTTATACTTTATTGAGTTTTTGAAACTCGCTAGTGGGCTTGACAGAGGTTTTGGCAAAAAGATGAAATTTTGATACACTATAACATTGTTTAGACGTGGAAAATTTTTCCCATTTTTGTATAGGTACTATAGCATCGCCTATAGAATAATAGTTTGAAATTTTGATATATTTATCAGCTATAGTTCATGAGTACTGACCAAGGTAAACAATCTTTTATTCCTTTTGAGAAACCGAAGTGGTGTCAGTTCACGTGATGCTGTAAGCACGTCCTTCGACCGGTTTGGCCCATTTTGTACACCAATCTCTTCCTTTGGTGATGGGTATAAAAACATGAGACAAAAGAAACCATAATATCTCGCTGATTTTTACTTTTTATTGACCATAAGTTATCCCACAATTTTTAATCTACTTTTAAGTATAAATGCTTAATTAAGAATAAAGAATAACTTGAACAATATCTAACGTTTCTGTTATTAATTGATTCTCGCCCTCGACTGCGTTCAACTATGGATCAATTTCGCCTCGTTCGCACGTTCACGCTTTATAACTTTGTTTTAGAGTTTTTTTCAACGTCCTTAATTTCCCTTCCCCGTCAATGATGGATTAAAATCATTAATTAACTTAGATAGGATAGGATTATCCAACATAGTGGTATGGCTGCCTTCGATCTTTTCAACTATTACAGTGCCTTTAGTGATTTTCTGTAGACTATAATCCTCATCAATATTTTGAATCGCAACTTCGGCGGAGCGAATGAGTATAATTGGCGAATTTATTGGTTCGAAGTTTATAAGATCGTACTTCTTTACCGTGGATAAGCGTCTAAAGATAGCATGTACCATAGCTTTCGAGTAATTCGAGCTATGTACACTTTGTTTTGCTATGTATTCATCGAATTTTTCCATTTTTTTTTCGATAGTTGGAAGTTGACTAAATTGTAGTGCGAGCAATTCTCTGATATTTTCACGGAAAACTGTCTGTATAACACCAGACAGTATTAAGTCATATAGATTATTGTCGGTAATATTTTCACCGACGTGCAAGTGGGTAAGTTTAGTTAGGAAATGTGGAGCTCCATCAATTAATAATAATTGACCGTGAAAGCCAGCCTTCTCTAACATTGCAACCAATTCCAGCGCAATGAAAGCCCCATACGAGTACGCAACAATATAAAACTGGCGATTAGCTTTTACGACTGTTTTCACGTCCTGTTTGAATAATAGCGAATTAATTGAGGCATGATATAGTAGAGATTTAATATATATGGAAAAGTTAGAGTACAACTTACTTCATAACATGCTTCGGCAATCTCTTTTATTGACGTCAGTTCAGCAAAGCGATGGAACTGCAACATGTTTACTTTGCTATTGATATTCTTGGCCATCTTATACCACACTTGGCCTGCGGTTCCCTCTATTCCGGGTATCATAATGGTTGGCAATGTCGCAAGTTGTAAAGTATCTGATTGCAATTCAATCATTACCTCATTGCATCGAGTTTCATCGCCCAAATTGCGCACTAATAATTCGATTCCTGTGGGAGTATCCTTCAAGGCGAAGTCAAGATCTTCATCTTCAGTTACATTAAATTCCTTTGCCTTCCCTTCGTTGTACTCTAGTAATTTTTGGAACGTTAATGAACGCAGCATTTCTGGTGTCAAAGACAAATCAAAATTGCGTTCCAAAGTTTGCTGTATTTCTACAGCCATCAATGAATCCATGCCCATTTCAGACAGTGTAGCGCCCAAAGAAACAGATTTAATATTGCGTATTCCCATAATATTCATTACTGTTTCGACCACATTTTCCCCACCAGAACTGCCGAATCGTTTCTCTGCGACCACCATGCTTGCCACAATGGCATCTGGAGCACTAAGCAACGTAT